CCCTCTTAGAGCAGTGGCGGGCATTGCAGATAGCTCTCAGCCATGTGCTGGGCCATGGTAACTGAGGGGCCAGGGCCTGTGAGGACTCCAGAAAGCCAGCAGTTTGCATATCCAGTACAAGAGGGAGACCCTGCCCTTCTTGAGTCTTTATATTTAAGTGAAACCCTTAGAGCAGTGGCGGGCATTGCAGATAGCTCTCAGCCATGTGCTGGGCCATGGTAACTGAGGGGCCAGGGCCTGTGAGGACTCCAGAAAGCCAGCAGTTTGCATATCCAGTACAAGAGGGAGACCCTGCTGCCTTCTTGAGAGAGCACATTTACGTGCCTCTTGCACTTCTGAAAATGGCTTTGCTCTTAGTTTGCAGACCCTGAGGTTTAGTAAAATTTAAAGCTGAGGTGCATGGTGCTTTTACTGTAACACTTGTGATGTGGGATTTTTTCCAGGGAACCATCACATCCTGTGATGATCTCTTTGCTCATCTCCATGGGTTTGCGTCTGGGGAGGATGTAGTCGGGCAGCCCATCACAGACCTGATCCCGTCCCTGCAGGTCCCTCCTGCTGGCCAGCCTGTCTCAGAGGTAGGACCCGACAGCCTGCACTGCCTGCATCTAACCCGACCACAAGGCTCTCCTGTAGTGGGATGTGCTTGAGGCTTGACTGTGGCCTGGAGCCTGGTGCTCTCTGGGCCGCCTGCTCTTGTCGTCCCTCTTTAATATGGAGCAGGGAGGGCTGGCAGGTGCAGGGTCTCCCCTGGTTTTGGTTAGACCTTCCCAGACAGCACCAATGGGATAGATGGGTGCAGACAAATGAGGGATTTTTTAGGGGAATTGACTTCCATGATAATGCAGCAGAGAAGTCCCTGAAAGGCTGCATGCAAGCTGAGGATCCTGGGATGGTGAATGGGTGTTAACTTGAGGACCCACAAGGCAGCCCATGGTGCACAGTCACTGCTCAGGCTACTAAGTTTGGCTCACCCCAAGGTTGAAGGCGGTTGCCTTTGTTCAGGGGCGGGCCAGGAGAATAGATCCAGCTCCAGGACATGATCAGTTTTCCTGTCCTCTGCCAGTGTCTTGCTGAGTCCCTGGCTGACTGGATGGTGCCATCCAAACTGTGTGGAGTGTCCTACACAGTCTGCAAGACACATGCCAGTCTGCTTTCAAAGCACCTTCACAGACACACTCAGCTCCCTAGGTCAGCATGTGAAATCAGCCACCATAGCCCTGGGGGTGGCACGGCCGGGTCCTATAGCAGTTGGGGAGCAGCGGCCTGGGGTGCAGGCAGTAGCTGTATCTTAGCCGAGCCCTCAGATCCTCCCTTTTCCTAGCTAGTATGTGGCCTTTGTGCAGGGGACCTGAGTGCTGTGGCTTCACCAATGTCACATCCGCACCCACAGTTACCAGCTGACTGAACTGAGTCTTCCCTGCTGCAATGAAGGTGATGGCCTAAGCCACAGTCCTCCAGACTCAGCCTCTGAGCTGTGGTTCACTGTGTCACACTTTCCAGGGAAGCTCAGTCCCTGCCCCCAGCTCTGGCACAGTGTACCCTCTACTCTGTCCTTAGGCAGTGCCACTTGTGCTGTTCAGCCAGCAGGACTCTGCTGACCTTGTGGCTGAAGGTGGCCCAGCAGCACCTGCTGCCCCTGGGTTGCCCTCTGACCCATGAGGTGGTGTATGTCCTGAAGATTTGTGGCAGAGCCCCCTGTGTGAGCTCAACCCTTCGGCAGCAGGTAGAGCTCCCTTGGGACTGGGGTCAGGGAAGATCGATGGAACCTGGCCATGGCCTGCACCTTGCAGGGACAGCTGGGTCCTGAGTTCAGTCAGGGTGCAGTGCTATGGAGGTGTTCCTGCATTCAGGGGAGCAGAGAAGACCCCGCCTCCAACCCAGCCCTGCATCTTTCCAGTCTTATGGGGTGGGGGAAACCCATGAACAAAGGGAGGTGCAAAGGCCTGGGTCCAGCTTACCAGCCTGAAGCCAGGGGCTGAGCCAGAATTCTGTGGTCAGGAGCCTTGTGTCAGGCAAATGTACCTAGGACACAGCATGCCTAGTGAAAGCAGAGGGAGATTGTTTCATGTGGCAGGAGGAGCTGAGCCGCAGGTGGGGACAGTTAGGTCCCCAGAGGCCAGTGATACCAGGATGCTGGTACTCCAGGGTAGAGCAACAGGAGATGTGTGAAGGGCCAGGGCTACCTGCACAGGTGGGCCTTGGGGGCACAGTCCGAGACCAAGGCACAGCACGCTGCCTTCCTCCCTCCACAGATGAGGAATGGGCATAGCCCTTGGAGTGGCTGACCAGAGCCCTGTCCCCATACTCCCCTGCATGCGTCCTCTCCCTAGCCCTTTCTGTGGCTGTGTTGGTGAAGCTGGGGTCCAAGGTGGTGCAGCTCAGTACTGTCCATGTGGTGAGCTGTTCGTGTCTCTTTCAGAGCTTGGAGATTCAGAGGTCTGTTGGAAGAGCCAGGGATGGCACCACCTTCCCTCTTACCCTGAAGCTGAAACCCAAGTGCGGTGGGAAGGCAGCGGCCATGGGCGAGGCGGCACCCGAGGGCGAGGCGGCTCCCAGGCAGGGCTACTGGGCATCCGTGTGGGTTTTCTGTACCATCAGTGGTCTCATCACACTCCTGCCTGACGGCACCATCTATGGCATTAACCACAGCTTTGCACTGATGTTGTTTGGCTTCAGGAAAACCGAGCTCTTGGGCAAGGTGGGGCTTCTGGCTGCTACCTCCCTGTCCATTCCACGCAGCCAGTCTACAGGTGTTGCAGGCCCCTGCTGCCCACTTCCTGCACTGTACCTGGAGGGATGCTGGCCCTGGGGTGAGGGCCCTGCCCATAGCTCCCTAGGTTGTCTCTAGGCTCTGCATCAGCGGCCACCTGGGCTACCTCCAGAGTCACCCAGGGGATGGAGGGGAGCCCTATTCCCATTGGTCCCTGGTCTGCTGATGGCCAAGGGCCTCAGGCTGTTCAAAGGGAATCTCACCTTGCGGGACGCAGTTCTTGGAGGTTGCTGGCACTTCTTCCTCAGGCAGGTGGGTTGCAGGTTGGAGTGGGCCCTCCTTTTGGGTTCTGAAGCATCACCGCTCTGCTTCCTAGAACATCACTTTCCTGATTCCTGGCTTCTACCATTACATGGACCTTGCCTACAATAGCTCTCTGCAGCATCCTAACCTCACCAGCTGCCTGGACATGGGCAGTGAGAGTAGGAGTGGCGAGATGACTTCCGACCCCTGCCACGGTGAGCCACGGCCTTCTGCTCCACAGTGTGCCCAGTCTCACCTCCATCACAGACCAAGGGACAGAGGCTCCAGAGCACGGGGGCAGGCAGCTGTCCTTGCTTGATGTGTCAGGTGTGAGGGCAGTTGCAGGTTATTCTAGTAGACATATCAGCATGGAGGAGGGGACTAAAAAGTCCTGTAAGACTGTTACTTATGCCCATGTCTGAGACACGGTTAGCTGACAGTCCTTTCATTTTAAAGAGAGTTTACATACCTTTGTGCAGCATAAACATAAATTAATATAGCACAACAGATTTGTTCCTGCATTAAATATTTCTAGCATATTTGTTGATTGTGTTGTTTGTCCCTGTGATTCTAGGTGAGCACTGTAAACTATTTGGATGTGGTTCCTGGGTCTCAACCACACAAGCAGTTGTAGATGGGTGCTTTGTGGAGGCAGTATGAGCACCCATCCTCCTGTCCCGAGGGACCCCAGGCTGAAGGGGCCAGGAGGGTGTGGAGCCCACTGATATCCCACAGAATCCGTGTCTGTGCTTCCGGTAGCCCCACATTGCACACCTTGCTGTTGCTCTGAGCAATGAGGACGGACTGGCAGCTCTGCTTAGAGGCCTGCCATGCTTGGCCGAGCTCTGCCTCAAGTTCTGGCCCACTGGGGTTGGTCCTGTGGAACCAGGGGGCATGGCAGGGTCATGGGGCAGGATGCTTGCTGTCCTACTTGGGGCAGGGGGACAGGCACCGAGACAAGGGGACCGAGGACAGATGCTAGCAGAAAGTGAAGTGTGGCCTTCTTGGAGAGTGCTGTTCCACCTACTGTCTTGCATGCTGGAATGCAGGTGTCTGTGAGGTTCAGCACTGGCCCCAGGGAGGCTTCTTTTGTGAATGCAAAATGCTCTTTTCTGTTACTCCTCTTAGATGCAAAAGTCGATCTGGTGCTTGCTAGTGATCATGTACTGCCACAAGATGAAACCCTGAAGCTGGTGGGAAGCCAAGACATCTCTGCTGGGATGCAGATGCAGCTGGAAATTGGATCCAGGCTCCCAGCTGCCCATTCCCTGCAGCCCTCTTCAGAGTGAGTCCTGCTGCAGAAGGTTGGGGCAGGCGGCAGGTGGAGGAGGCCATGTTTGGCTCTGGTTAGTGACAACAGTAGCAGCCTTTTTGTCCACACTCGATGACAGGGCCCCAGGTGCCCATCTCAGTCCTCACAGCCTCCACGAAAGGGGCCTGTGTGTCACTGTCCATGTACTGGGCTGCTGAGGGTGCAACAATGTTTGGGCAGATTTCAGAGAACTGGTATTGGCTCTGTAGAATTTTGTAGAATTCTGTTCTCTTTCTACATTTTAAGTAAGGTACAGTGCACTATTTAGAGTACAAGATGCTTCTATTAGGTAATTTGGAAAATGGGAATCAAAAATTCATTCTGTTATTATCATAATCCTATTGTGCCTAGTATTTTGGCATATTCCACCCTGTTTTCTTTCTTTTTTTTTTTTTATTGGTTTTTTGAGACAGGGTCTCACTATGTAGTTGAGACTGACCTGGAACTCACTGTGTAGCCCAGGCTGGTCTAGAACTCACAGTGATCCTCCTGCCTCAGCCTCCTGAGTGCTAGAATTACAGTCATGTGCCACCACGCCCAGCCTGTTTTCTTTCTTTTAGAGCATTACTTTCATGCACACGCTGACCACATCTTCCTGTGCCTGCCCCAGAGACTCCCCAGTCCCCTCCTACTCCACACTCTGGCCTTGGGTGCAGAGCTCTGGTCACAGTCCTGTCCTCAAGCTTCCTCTGTGCTGCCCCTTCTGTCTGCCTCTTCTGTTCCCTGTTATAGCTGTGAGATTTACCCACCCTGTTGTGTTTTTCAGCTTTGAATTTTTTTTTTTAAATACACAAATGTGTTTTTAAGCACAGAACAGTGGTAAAGTGAAATCCCTATGACACTCTCCTGACCTCCCTGTCCAGTCCCACTCTTTCTCGAGGGCATGGCTGTACAGTTAGTGCCTTCCAGACCTGTCTTTCTGTATAGTTGCATGTAAATGTGTGTTATGCATGCATGTGTGTGCACACATGCTCTTCTGTCCTTGGAGCAAGGCCAGGGTACCTGTGTCTGTTGTCCTGTGTGTAGAACCCATCTGATGGTCTTCCCAAGAGCCAGGACCTCCTGGATGGTGCCATTGCCCTGGTCTATGGCAGGTGCTTCTTTTTATTTGCCTTGACTCCCCCCACTTCTTCTTGTCTGCCTGTGGGATGCACTTTGGATGGTGTAGGAGAAGCTTGTTCCCTGGCTCTCCTTGCTGTGAGCTTATAGGCAGGTGAGGAAGGAAATGAGAGGGTCACCCAGGGCTCACTTGTGCCCGCCCCCAGTGCATCCCAGGACCGGTCTCTTTAGGACCAGGGTAGGTGCATCTGGGACTGGCCCTCTTGTCCCATACCGCGGGGCAGCTGCTGGGTGGTCCACTTCACAGTGTAGCCAGCATGAGGCCTGGGGCCACCGGGATGGGTGCTGCTGGAGCCCAAGCATGTGTTCCTTACTGCATTGTGGACTTCCAGTAGCATTTGCTGAGAAATCTTTGCCAGATGTGGACTTCATGAAAAATGTTGGGGAAGTATTCTGTTTTTTACTGGATTACAAAACTTAAGTCTTTTCTATTGCACGTTTGTGGTCTGATAGGCTTGTACTTGTCTCATAGAGGGGGAGTTGATGTTATTTCCTTTTGGCCCTTCTGAGGCCACTAGTGACATTGTCATCTGAATCCCTATTCCCAGGGCAGGCAGTGTCCTGGAGGGGCACCCACTGGCCCAGGACAAACAATCGTTGGCTACAGACCAGAAAAGTATCCCAGAGGGGCATGTGCCGGCCCATGAGAAGCAGTCACCATCTGAGAACCAGCAGGATGTCTCAGAGAAAAACCCACCCATGCATGGAGAGTGGGTGTTGCCTGCGGACCTGCAAGACAGCCAGGAGGGAAGCCTTCCAGCCCATGGTGCATGGTCACTGCTCACGGACCAGCAGGTTACTGCTTTGCGGGGAGCAGAGCCTGCAGTAGCACAGATTCCCATGCGGGGTCTTTTGGGAGAAAGCAGGTCTGGACCAGTGGACACAAAACCATTTGTTTCCTGTGAAGACAATGGCCCTCCAGTCCCAGCTGAGGACAGGAGCAGTGATGTTGGAATGTGGGACCTCCATCAGGAGGCTCAGCGGGCACTGACGGGTGCCAGCAGTGCCAGCCTTCAGGCCAATGCCACCATGCCCAAGCCCAATGCTGTAGGGCAGCCGGCAGGAGGGGGCCTCCCGTCCTACTGTCCCCACTACAGGAGCGAGTGGCTTCTACGGCAGCCAAGCCCAGACTTGGCACCCAGCCCTCCAGGGGTGGCCTGCGTCTCATTCGGGACGCCTACCCTGGATGAGCCGTGGCTGGGAGGGAGAGCTGCCCGGGAAGAGCTTCAGGTGTGCTTGGTGAAGGAGCAGCTGTCCAGGTTGAGCTTTGAGGGAACTCTGGGCATCTCCTGCCTAGAGTCTGTCCCCGAAGAGCACTGCCCCTACACCACCCCTCTGTCCTGTGATTTGAGGGGCAGAGACCTGCATGGCAGCCACCTGGGCAGCTCCTCTGCCTGCTACGCTTTGGCTACTGACCTCCCTGAATTCCTGGAGGCTGTGGATGTCCGGAAAGCTGCTCTGAACTCTTGCTCTTGGAGCCTTAGGGAGCTCCTTCTCAGGGATGGGGCAGATGGAACTTCCTCTAGTTGTTCCTGTGCCACTTCTGAACTCGAGGGGACACCCTCTATCTCGGCAGTGAGCTCTGATTTTGATGTAGATGTGCTCCACAGGCAGAGGTCAGATGTTCTGGGTGACAGGGAGCGGTTTCTACTGACTGGCACCTATTTTGACCTTGGTGAAGGTCAAGGGTCCCAGGAGAGCTGCCCAGAGCATGAGCCAACAGAATCACCTGACATATATTTGTTGTCCCCTGAACATTATGAAGCCAGTAGCACAGAAAGCCCAGACTGTGGCCTTCCTACTATGGATGCTAACCTGGAGTATGCACACCTGTCTGCAGAGGACCCAAGGATGAGTGCCTGGGTCACCTCTACCCCTGTGACGCCTAGGGATGCCGGCCTGTGTCGGGAGATCCAGGAGGGCACCTACTCGGGGAGCTGCTACCACCGAGATGGCTTGCGGCTGAGTATGTCCCCAGCCCTGGGGGAGGGGCACATGGCCACCAGGGCCCGGCCCAGCAGGGTCAGGGATGCCCAGGCCCTGGGGGCTGGAGGGGTTCTGCCTTTGTTAAGGATCACCTATTGTTCATGCTGCTCAGACAGCTCTTTGTGATAGCCAGGGAGGCCTCTCCAGCTTAGAGATGGTGAGGGGTACGACTTTGGGGTCTGTCCCCCGAGTCACACTGGGAAGCCAGGATTGCTGTTCGTTTCTCATCAGGTGTTTTGATGAGAGGCTTCTCAGGTCTCCTCAAAACCCCACTCTGTGCAGGGCATGAGGACCAGGTTGGTGCCGTCTGCTTGCTTTCCTCATTTCTTAATAGGGCTGTTATTATTTTGGCCAGCTGTTTCTACATCACTGATTTTGAGTTGTTGATTGCTATGGTTCTTTTCCCAAATTAAAACAAATTACATAGGTAATAATATTATTTGTGAAACTTAGAAAACATGAACAAGAAAATAAAATTAGCTATGAACACTCTGCCAAAATGCAGACACCATATCCTAGGAGGCTACATGGAGATGCAGTGCCTGTGTGCAGAAATACAGGTGTGTCACAACAGTGTGCTATGGCGGTTTAAGTTTAACATGGCTGTGCATAACTGCAGGATGCATTTCTGCGAATGGTCTTAACGTAACTGAGCAAGTTCCAGTCAGGTTCCTGTCACCTGAAGGCAGAAGGCTGCTCTGTCCTATCTTTTCTGAGCTGGGGCAGCCAGCAGCTTTCTACAGGTGTCCTTAGCTCTTGGCCCCTGGCTGCCTGGCAGGCTCTGGTAAAGGTTTCCCTGCTGGTGCTGACATCTTTTCCCCTGTCCAGGGCTGCTGGGTGGTCCTCAGGCAGCTCTGAGTGGCAGGCTTTTTAGTCTTAACACCATTGCCTGGTAGTCAGCGAGGTGCCTTTCCACCTCTTGTCTGCAGGCATACACTTTGAGGTGAAGCGGGTGGAGCTCCAGGGCCCCTCGAGCCTGTTCTGCTGCTGGCTGGTGAAGGACCTCCTGCACAGCCACCAAGACTCAGCCACTAGGACCCGCCTGCTGCTTGCCAGCCTGCCCAGCTCTACCCACTCTGTGCCTGAGTCCCCAGGACCCAGCCTTGGGGAGGTTGGTATCAGTTCACTCAGGCCATGTCTCTGCCTCCCACTATGGGCCAGTTTTTCCTGCTGGCACTGCTGTCTGTGCCTGGATGGGAGTAGGGTCTGTTTCTGGCTTTGTGACACCGCCTTCTAGTGTCCTAAAGCAGATGTAGGGCTCCAGATCTGCATTAGCATTGTGTGCACAGGGGGCCCTGGGGCAGTGATCCTTAGGCAGCTCCCATGGCATGGGAGAAAGGCAGTATGGGTGAGAGTGCTGCTCAGCTGGGGACATGGTGTGGGTGCCCACTTTCCTCAGTTGCATGTGACCACACACCTTCCTTTTCATTTGCAGGTACACAGAGCCAAGCCCAGGGAACAGGAGTCCCCCACTCCTGTGGAGCTGGAGGGACTGGCAGCCTGTGAGGGCGAGTACTCATGCAAGTACAGCACCCTGCGCCCGCTGGGCAGTGGGGCCTTTGGCTTTGTGTGGATCGCAGTAGACAAGGAGCAAAACAAGGAGGTGCTGTGGCTCGTGGAGGGAGCGGCCCCAACTTTGGGTCCCTGGCTGTCTGAATTTGGGATTGTCTTTGGAAGAGGAGCCCTGAGGTCTCATCCAGCAGTTTCTGGTTTCAAGGAGGGTCCCTGCCAGGCACCCATGGACATCCAGGCAATGTCATATGACATCTTAGGTTCAGACCTTGCTCCCACAGGTGCTTGAGACCCTGGCTGGGCCCACGTTGAGGCTCAGGGTGCCTCTCCTGTCCCCTCCGCTTTGAGCGCAGGTGGTATACTACTGTCCCGCTGCCCCTGTGGCCTGCCGATACCTTGCGCTTATAAAGCTGAACTTAGATCTCCTCTGCTCAACTAGAAAAAAGTCCCACTGAGCAAATGAAGCAGCAGACTAAACAACAGGAACCTTCCTATTCCCTGAGCAGCCTGGGTGTGTGTGTGTGGCCCATGCTTGCTGTGTGCTAGGGGCCCTTCTTCCTGCATGTTCCTCTACCAGTGAGCCTCAGAGCTTGCCGTCCTTCCATCCAGAGTGCTGTGCGATATGTGTTCTTGGCATTTTGTAATTTGGGGGAACTGATGTCACAGCAGGGCTGATTCCAGTTGCTTCTACCCTCCCATCCCTTGTAGGTGGTAGTAAAGTTTATTAAGAAGGAGAAGGTTTTGGAAGATTGTTGGACTGATGACCCCAAACTTGGAAAAGTCACTTTAGAGATTGCAATTCTGTACAGTGTGGAGCACTCCAACATCATCAAGGTGGATGGTGGTGATTTCCTGTGCATCTTTGTTCCCATAAAATTTGCAGTTTGCTGATTGAAGATATTTCAACAGAGCTGGACATTGTGTTGTCTTTTTCCAGGTAGTGGATGTGTTTGAAAACCAAGGGTTCTTCCAGCTGGTGATGGAGAAGCATGGCTCTGGCCTGGACCTCTTTGCTTTCATTGACCAACACCCCAGCCTGGACGAGCCCCTGGCTAGCTACATCTTCCGACAGGTGAGATGGGTGGATGTGGCCTTGAGAGCTCAAGCTGGTGGCTGCATGGATCAGCGGCTCAGGCTTAGGTCTCCATTAGTGGATCCTTCAGCTTTACAATCTGACAGAATAAGGCATAACACTCTGAGAAGGGAATTCTATGGTTGCAGTAGAGCAAGTGAGGTTGAGGAGGAAGGAAGAAGCCAGATACCATCCTGCAGTGAGCAAGGAAGTGTGCTTGGTGATTAAGATTTATTTATATACATACAGTGGCTATATCAATTACAGGTATTAACCAACACAGGTGTCACACTGAGCTGTGAGCTCTGTGCTTTTGATTTGAATTGTTATCTCCATAGCCATGAGACCTAGGGGAAATCATTGCTGTCTTTCAGCCTCATTCTTGGCTGGTCTGTGTAGTTGGATCACTGTGATACTACATGAAAAGAGTTAGGATTAACCAGGATGCCCCTAAGATAGGCATACAGCACAGTGTAAATGCTCTTAATTAAGTAATCAACAAGGACAAGATTTTGGCAGTCTCATTTCGTAGTAAGTATTTGACTTGATCTGTTTTGTGTCTAACTGCGTATTGATCTATCTCCATTGGTATTTTATTGGAATGGAAGAGTGATCAGTAAGACAGAAAGGTACCCTAGAAGAGGGAGGGTGGGAGAGAAGAGTAACTGTCACTTTGAGCCATGAGGAGAGGAGGGTGGTTCTACCCAAACTTCTCCTAGCTCCCTGGAAAGGGTGGAAAAAAGAGCAGAGAAGGGCTGTGTGAACAATGCAGGTTTGCCCTTTGATTTTTTTCTTTTTTTCTGTAAATGACTCAATTCTTGGTGGCAAGTTCCAGATGTGAACTTTTCTTCCTTCAAAGTTATAAGCTTCCCAAAGTTACTGGATTTTTGAAATTGGATTTCTTAGGCATCTCCTTGTGACTTTCAAGCTTCGTGGTTATGCCAAAAGAATGTCATCTGTCTCCCTTTTCTTGGGTTGGAAGATTATGTATTTGTTTGTTTCAATTTGTGGCAGATTTGTATCTGAAACCTTATAGTGCAGAGAATCTGTGCGGTGACCTCAGGAGCCACATGGTGAAAGCTGCTCCTTCCCCACTGTTAATCCTGAGCTGATGACACAGTGCATTCTGGTCTTTTGCAGTACTGAGGATTGAAGTCCTTTGCATGATATACTTCCTCAGCCCGTTTTATTATTTTCATTTTGAGACAGAGTCTCCCTAAGTTGTTATTTGCATGATATACTTCCTCAGCCCGTTTTATTATTTTCATTTTGAGACAGAGTCTCCCTAAGTTTAACAACTTAACAGTTGCCCCGGCTGGTTTGAATTTGCAATCCTCCTGTCTCATCCTGCCATTATAGACGTGCATAACCATGCCAAGTTGATGATGTTTTATATGTTAAAATTTTTACAAAAAGTTTCTGTGGCCCCTGTGCAAATGCATACACATACATGTGTTGTTATATGTAAACACAGACCTGTAATTTTATAAACATGCATATAAATAGCATTGGTGATCAGCAGATCACCTCTCATCCCTGGTCCATCAGGTCTGCTCAGCGATGGGCTGGGGCTCGTGAACAGCCCTCTGGGAAGCTCTGTGGGTCCAGGGCAGCGTGGGCAGGGCCTGCAGGAGGGATGGCTTCTCTTCTGAGCTGGGCACTCAGTAGTCAGCATGACTCACTGAGACTTCTGTTTTGTAACTATAGTGTGATTTCTGTCTCCTGACTGGTTCTGCTATGAATGTATCTTTGGATGTGTGTATATGTGTTTAGGTATATTTATATGTCTATACATGGAGGCACGTACATGTGTGCATATGTACATGCATAGTTTTTCATGTGTGTGTATGTAAATATTCATGTCAGTTAATTGGTTGGGCTTAGTTCTCCTGCCAATGGTTAACATTGCTTCTGATTCATTTGTACATGTAAAGTTGCCTCCAAGATCAAACTGATTGTCTTGTCTGAGATCACTAGGTTAAGAGTCCAGGTGCTGTCCCATCTGTGACAATGTCAGTTACCTGTCTTTCTTGCTCAGGGACAAGGCTGAGCTGGTGGATCCTGGCCCCAGAAAAGCAGAGCAGGCAGGCAGGTGTGAGAGTGAGTGGGCATGCCCTGTGGCTTGCAGGGGAGGAGCCTTTTCTAGAGCTTACGCCTTGGTGGTCAGTCTGCTCACTGTGAAAGGATGGCAGACACCATAGGCTGCCCTTCCTGGAGCTGGTGGGCCCTGCAGCGGGAGCACTGAAGCCTCACTGTCCCCAGGTGCTGCCTGAACTCTGTGGTTGCCCCTGTGTGTCTCTCCACACTAACTACTGCATGTTTCTCAGCGTCTGCTTTGTGGTCTGTCTGGTTTTTCACCTATGATGCTTGTGGGGACTCCCTTTGGCCTTGAATCAGATCTCCACATCCAGATTTAGGCACTGGAAAATGTCTATTTTTTCTTTATTGTTGTTTTCTCCTCGATGTTTATTTTAAATGTTTGTCTTTCTGAATTGCCCTTTGAGAAGCCCCCTCTGGTTCCAGCTGGTGTCGGCAGTGGGGTACCTGCGCTCAAAAGGCATCATTCATCGGGACATCAAGGATGAGAACATCGTGATCGCTGAGGACTTCACAATCAAGCTGATAGACTTTGGCTCAGCTGCCTACTTGGAAAAGGGCAAATTGTTTTACACGTTCTGTGGAACAATCGAGTACTGTGCCCCCGAAGTGCTCATGGGGAACCCGTATGTACATGTTCTCTGCCTGTCCTTGCCTCATGCTGGCCCAGTTGGTTTGATCTGGGGCAAGATGGCTTCAGTTTGTGCCTGTTTGTGACAAAAGTGTTGAGAGATAAGGATAATGTTTTGGAGAAAAGTGAAGAAACAGACACAGTAAGATGGGTCCCGGGAAGACAGGCAGCAGACCCCAGGTTCATTCTATTATTTTCTCAACTTTTGTTTATGTTTGGAGTTTGCTATACCTGAAAGCTAGGAAGATGTGATAGGTAAAGATGAGGACTCTCCCAGTAAGTGAAGAAGAGACTTCCCAAGCTGGTTTATTGATTCTGATGACAGAAGTGTGCAGGGTGTCCCCGTGTCTGGTTTCAGCTCTCATGAGAAACTGCTCAGTGTCAGGGAGGGTGGGGGTGTGACCCAGATGAGGGTCCCTCTCTTGGAGCCAGGAAATGCTACTGCAGACTTTCTCCACTGGTGGCCTGTGGCTTCCTTCCCGGGTCTGGACAGCCCCTATGAGCAGCTCCTTGACTTTGCCAGCTGCAGAGCACACAGGATGCCAGTGGACCTCCCTCTGTCCCTCCCCGTGTGCTCAGGGCCCCCACAGGAAGAAGTGTTGGGGGTGGCTTCAGGAGGCCTGGGGGATCTTCAGGTTTGCTGTGGTTCCCCTGGTACCCAGCGAGTGTAGACGGCTCTGCCCTGTCCCATGGTGGCCGCTCTGTCCTCCGTGTTGGAGGGCAGCTGCATCCACTGCCTGCTGGCCTGTATGAGTGCTTCATGGCCAGTCCCGTTGCCCGGTGCCTGGCTGCCAACAGCTCAGTGCTGCTCAGGGGCCTCCTCCCCACCAGCCCCTCCCCTGTAGGTCCTCATCCCTCCCCTTCAGCAGTGCCATTGTCAGCCCTGTGCAGGCCTCAGGGCCAGCAGCTTGTCTTTCAAGCCCCCATCCCTCCCTGTCCTCTCCCCACCTCACTGGGTACAGGGTTTTCTTATAAGAACTTTTGTTGTTTTGTTTTCCTGAGAAGGAGTCTTATTACGTTGTCCAGGCTGGGCTCTTAAATTGAGATATTCCTGCTTCAGTCTTGGGAATAGCTGGGATTACAGGTGTGTTCCACCTCACCCAGCTGAGCAGAAGGCTTTCTGAGTTGATTTTGGTTCCAGATCCCATTCTCAGGAGCATTTCCTTCCTTGTTTTGGTTTTTGTTTTGTTTTGTTTTGTACTGAGGATTGAACCCAGGGCCTTACTTCTGAGCTACATCCCCAGCCCATTTTCACTTGTGTATTTGAGACAAGGTCCTACTAAATTGATAAATTGAAAACTGTGGCCCTTGGCCAAATCTAGCCTGCCTCTCAACGTTGTCTTTACCTTGACCTCTGAAGTAGACAGTTGAGCAGCATGAAGTATACTTGGTTTGTTGTTCAGTCGCCACTACCATCCACACAGAACTCTGTCCCCGTTAACACTGAGCCTTTCTACCCCACCCTGACAACGACTCTCTACTGTGCTTTCTTTTTTTCTTCATTACTGGGGGTTGAACTAAAGGCCTTGGCACCGCGCTACATCCTCACTCTTATTTTTTGAGACGGGGTTTTTCTAAGTTACGTATACTGGGCTTAAATTTGTGATCCTCCTGCCTCAGCCTCCCAGAATGCTGGGTTTACACATGTGTGCCACACCACACCCAACTCTGTTCTGTCTCCGGGGAATCTGACAGCTCTAGGACCTTCACGTAAGTGGAATCACATGGTACTGTCTTTGGACTGGCTTCTTTCACTGAGTGTGATGTCCTTGGGGTTCACCTGTGTTGCATTGTGGGTCAAAATCTCCTTCCTAAGGCTTCCCACCCCTTGTGTGTTCAAGTCCCACTCTTGTTAGGGCTGTTGGTAGATGCTGGGGCTGCTGCCCCTGCTTGCTGTCACAGGGAGCTCAGCTGTGACCATGGCTGTGGCGAGTCTGACACCTGTGTTGTGTAAGTGGAATGCACACATGCTTATTTGCTTTCTTACTGTCCAAGGCTGCTTTGTGACACCACGGCTGAGTGGAGTAGTTGGCATAGACCACGTGGCCCAGAGGCCTAAACATTATCTATCCCCTTGTAGAAAGAGCTTCCAACCCCTCTTCTGCTCCAGTGGACCTTTCTCTATAAAGCAGAAATGACAGACACAGGCCATCTGACTTGACTTTCTTGCTCAGCTCCTATAATGTCTTGTCCTTCCTCGTCCCTCTGTGCTGACCTTGGCCTGGGGTATTGCTTGGGGCACTGACTGGTCCTCCTCCATGTGCAGCTCCCTGCCTGCCTGATTTCAGCCTCCTGATGCCTCCAGCTCCCTAGTCCCTGGAGGGCAGAGGGCTGAGTCCTGCACCCTTCATAGTGCCACGGCTGCTGTGGGCTCCTGTGTCTGACCAGGGTTCTGGTGAGCAGCTATTGCTCCAACATGGTTCTTGGATCAGGCTCCTCTGAGCACCAGGTCCTGAGAATCAGTGCCCTGGTAGCCCTGAGTGCAGCCACCCAGCTCCAGGCCCCACTTTATAGGTGACCCCAGGTCCCTGGCACCACATTGGGATGCCACCTGTAGTTGGCTCACCCACAGGCCTTGCTCTGGGTCCAGGAGTAGCTACTTTGTTCTCCCAGACCTGGAGGGTAAATAAGGATTAATAATAGAGACGTGGAGGCAGCTTGACATGTGGACAGCCAGGGGATGCATACCCCTAGCAGGCAGAGGAACCCCGAGCCTTTGGCTTACCTCACTTTTATTCACCCAGACACAGGTACAAGTAACCAAACTAAAACAAGATCCACCTGATTTCCAGTATCAGTAGTACATTCTCTGGTAAACAACTTTACCTCAGCTGTCTGAACTTATCTCTAACATGCAATCACCCTTGAGTTCAGCCTTGCTCCTTTGTGCGCCCAAAGGAGGCCAATTAGGCCTAATTCTCCTCCTGCTCCCCAGGCTGTACTGCTCCTCTGTGCAGAGTGAAGATGATGTCATCTTACTGGATGTAAGGCTGAGGCCTATACCACCTAAAATGCTAGGTAGAGCTGGAGCATAGGTGAGGGTTCTGATGTCAGAAAGTAAGCACTATGGTCTCATCTCCCCAGGCCTCCTCCTCCAGTGACCACCCCCTCTAACCTGTTTGTTCCTTCTGTCTCCCCTGTGACCCCCAGGGAGGCTTAGTGACTTGCTGTCCCTTCTCTGTCTTCACACCTCCTGAAGGAAGACCTGGCTCCCCCAGATCACAGGGATTCTTGTGCCGCTGAGGCCACTCCCCAGGCAGCCCTGAGTGGACTTCTCCAGTCCATTGGAAGCATGTGGCTGACTGGGGAGGCCCACTGCTACTGTGAGGCTGGCAGTGCGAATTGTGCTTGGCTCCGTGAGGTGCTGAAATGTCCTTTCCTCCTGGACAGCTACAGAGGGCCAGAGCTGGAGATGTGGTCTCTGGGTGTCACACTGTACACGCTGATCTTCGAGGAGAACCCCTTTTGTGAGGTGGAGGAGACTATGGAGGCCACCATCCACCCCCCATACCTGGTGTCCCAAGGTGAGCCCGGGACATAGGCAGTGCACGGATTCCACTGTCCTGAGAACCAAACAGCTCTTGCTGTCTTTCCTCTGTTATTTTGAGGCAGGGTCTCGATATGTAGTCCCAGCTGTCCTTGAACTCACTATATAGCCCAGGCTGGCCTCAAATCCATAGTGATTCTCCTGCCTCAGTGTCCTAAGTGCTAGGATTACAAGCATGTGTCACTACAATCAGTTCCCTCTCCTCCCTCTCTCTGTTCCTACTGATGACCTCATTCACCTCTTTTCTTTCTCCTAATTCCTTGATCTGAACATAAGAAAGATTTGAGTATGACTGGAAAACATCTTGATTGAATTTTTATTGCTGTCCCTAGGACCTTCCGGGTCCTCTGTGAGCAACAGACTTTACAGTCACAGTCCTTGCCAGGGGCAGCATCTGTAAGACTGGGCACATAGATCAGAACCCCTGGTGTATGGAGGGAGTGTTGATGGGTGGTGAGACCTGAGCTCCAGCAGCTAATGTCGAAGCCTGGTTTGTCAGTCACTCTGTGACTGCCCCACGAGTACTGTGGCAGCAGGAAGTTCATCCCACCTTGGGGCTGGGCAGTGGTTTACATCTGGAGTGAGGACTGATGTGGGGTCTGTGGCCAGAGGAGGCTTCTCAATCCCAGAGGAGCCCATGGAGCTGGCAGCTGGACCTTTCCCACCTGATACCATGCGATTCCATCACTGGCACTGATGAAAGCTGTGAGGTGACAAGCATCTTCAGGCAGTCTGTGCCTTGGGCTCTTTGCTTAGGTTGGAAGCCTCTGTCTAGCTCGGCTGTTGCCCTAGAACCCAAAGGCAGGGACCTGAGACAAAAGACATTTATCTTACAGCTCAGGAGCTGGCAGTTTGAGGTTAGTGTGCCGGCAGATTTGACTTGCTGGTGAGGACTCTCCCCGGCTCACAGGCCCTCACATGGTAGACGGAGAGAGACTGATCCCTTCCTGCTTCATAAGGACTTGAGTTCCATTGCCATGCCTCCCTCAGGAGCTCATCTGACCTCACAAGCACCCAGTGGCCTCCTACCCTGCTGTCACGCTGGGGTCTGGCTTCAGTATACACAGTGGGGGGAGGTACTCAAGCTAGAAGTGCATCTTTGCTGAAGCTCTGGATTGTTGAGGTACCACGACCCTGTGGCACGAGGTTCTACCCATAGAGGCTGTTCCACATGTCTTTTGCTAGGCTCACGGGATGGGGCCCTGGACAGAGAGGCTTGGGTGGCCCTGGTTGTCTTGATGCCCACATTGTTGGAGGAAGTGGGGTCCAAATCGAGATCTAAGGCTGTTGTTCCTTGGAGCTCACCATGCTTCCACAGGCTGATCTGGGGACACTGTAGCCTGCTACTCCTTCCCCTACTTGCCATGCCCATCCTGGGTGTTCAGGGCTTCCAGAAATGGACTAATTAGGAAGTCCTGGGCCATCTGATCTTAGTGTGATGGGTTTCCAACTCCATGCTTTCATTTTGGAGGGGATAAGCTGTCCATAGGCCTTCCCTGAGGGTACCAGGCTGGGCCCTAGAGTCCAGGTTCCTGGCTGCCCCCTGCTCTGTCAGAGGCTCTGCAGAGGTGGGGACCCCTGGGCCCCTGTGGGTCTGAGACAAGCTGCCCTGATCCCGAACTATGTTCTGTATGTCCCCAGAACTCATGAGTCTCATGTCTGGGCTGTTGCAGCCTGCCCCTGAGCAGCGCACCACCTTGGAGAAGCTCATGACAGACCCGTGGGTGACACAGCCTGTGAACCTTGCTGAATATACCTGGGAGGAGGTGTGCAGAACCAACAAGCCAGGTGAGAGGCTCCGCCCTCCCTCTCTGTGTGACTTTGCTTAGAATGGGAATCCAGGCTGCCTTCCAGGCAAGGCTTCCTCCTCTGTCCTGGCTGCGAGTGTCGGGGCTTGATTCCTCACCAGAGGCCCTGGATGCCACTGGTTTAGTGTGGCTGTGGGATTGGAGGGAAGGCAGGGCTGTTGGAGCACAGCCACAGATTCTGAGGTTGCTGCTCTGAGGCTTGGGCTTGGGGAGCAGCTTTTCAGATAAAGCTCTTGGCTCTAGAACTGGCTCATAGCAGGTGGACAGGATTGACTGGTTCTGGGTTCAAAATCTCCCATTCCTTAACAGGTTCTATTGAAGTTTTCCATCATCTTGTTATTGTTAGCATGCAACAGTGTCTTCTTTCTTCTTTAGAGAGCAGTCTGCTATCCACTGGGAGCCAGGAGCAGGAGACTGAGCGAAGCAGCACAGGCTAGGAGGCTCCACGGACCCCGTCCCTGTGGAGGTTCCCAGCGGCCAGCCCTGCACAGGTCCTGAGGACCCCTCTCTACCCGCTAGCTGAACTCGTGCTTTCTGCTGCACATCTCCACTCAGTTCATGGATTTCTGGCTCCTTCCACTTGGAGAAAGTAAATTTTCAAGAACTGGCCCCCTTCACCTTCTATAAACTCAGGTGCAAGTTTGACAGGTGCTAGAGCAAAAGCCAGTGGTATTATATTTTTTTAAAGTTTATAAAATGGATTTGGAGTTCATGTTTTTTGTGACTTTGAAAAGTATTTTAGGGTGTAATTACTTTATACTATTAAAAGCTTCTGATTTGTGAGCCTCTGGAAGGAATAGTGTTTTATTCTTTCTATTTTTGTGTATACCCATAGGTTTTATGGTAGCCAAGATGATCAGACTATTTCATTAATTGATTTCTTTGAACAGTTTCCAAATTAAAGCAACTTCTTGAATAAACTGTTAAGGAACCTGGGATCATAAATTGCTCCACCTTGCTCAATGTGAGAAGCACCTGGTTTCTTTATTTTTGTATGTGTGCACCCTACTTGCCACAGCAAGAGAGAAATCCAGTCTCATTCAGCATGAGGGTCCCTCTCCTGGGGGCACTGCCAGAGATGGGCCAGAGACTCAAGCATCCCCTTTTCAGAGGACTTGGGATGTGGTGTTATCAGTTCTTCTCCATGCACAGGTAGGCAGGCCCTGGGCTGGCTGTCTGCAAGACTGCTATATACCAAGCACTGTCACCCCATGACAGCTGGCCTGCACTCTCCAGATGTCCTGCAGCTGGCCTGTACCATGTCCCTGTCTGCATGACAGTTTTGCTTCAGGATTCGAGTTTTCTGGTATTGTTTTTAAGAATGAAATACACATTGCTCTTTTGGTGTTTTGATGCTTATCAAGTATAAGGTGTTACAGAATGTTTTCAGACAGATGTGCATTAATTTGAGGACATAAAATGCTAGCTTTCCAATAACTCACTTCTTGGTTTTGCTTGTTTTCTCCCACACTGTGGACTGATTCCAGGGTCTTCATGTGCATGCAAGCACTAGTGAGAGCTACATCCTCAGCCCAAATGTTACTTCTTTGTAAGACAAAATAGTTAAGGCTTATTTGACTTGACTCTTAATAGGTCTGATCCTTTGCAGATGTTCTTTGCAGAAAGCACCTGCAGAGAAGTTTTAAGACTGTGACTGACAAGTCTTTCCTCTTCATATTTCAAATATGGCTCATGAAAGCAGAGTTTTCACAAGACTGAAGATGCTGCCAATTTTTCCTACTAACTGCCGCATCCCAGCCGTCACTGCTTCTGGAGCCAGCTGACCTCTTCCAGTTCCTTGATCCTTTTCAGGGAGACACTGTGGCACACAGAATCTTCTTAGATTTGGGTGTAAAAACATTAACAATTTATTTTGAGGTGTTGGCAGCTAGTATTTAAAGAAGAAAATTAAATTTAAAAAAAGACACAGCCATCAGTTTAGTTTTATGCAGATTATGGCCTTCCTGTTATATAATCCTTCTGTCAAAGGGTATGTTCAAACACTTTAGGACCAGCTCAGTGCCTGGCACACAGCAGGTAAGTGTATTCCTATGCAAGACTCAAATCCTTTTTTTTTTTCTTTCAGCCAAGACGATAAAACAAGAAATGGTTATACATTAAGATTTACAAGTGGAATTTAGGCAGCTGAGAAAGCACACCGTTTTATTGTTCACTTATCCCCACTTGAAAGATGCCTAGGCTCTGCTCAAACAGATCTGCGTCTGAAGTTTGAATACACAGTAGGCTGGGGCAGTGCGGTTTTCCTCCTCAGTAGAAACCAGACCTTGGGGAGGGCTCTGTGGCTGGAAACAGGAATGCGCCTTGGTTCCCGTCGTATTGTTACTGGGGTCATGTGTTTAAAATCAGTTAGGGCTTCGCTTGGTGTGTGGTGGCCGGGTATTCACGTCGTGCACGGAGTTTAGACACCGTCAGTCAGGGGCTGGCTCTGGGCTCCCAGCTTGGGTAAGGAGCTGAGGCCGCTCCGGGATTGTGACCACTGCGTCCCAGGAAACAGCTGGGCGGCGGGCAGCTCTAACTTCCGGGAAAGAAGAGAGTGGGTCCTCAGCGTTCCTTCGAGCTCCTGAAGAGGTTCGATGAGGCGGGTAGGAGGCGGTGCGGCCGTGGAGCCACCAGAAACCCAGGCGCCCGAGGACGAGGCTCGTGTGCAAGGCCGGGCAGAGGCATGTGAGCCCGGAACTTTTTCCCCGCATGTTCGCTCTGGCGTAGGGGAGGGCGACGGAAGCGAGAGGCCGGACCGGCTGCTACTTCCGGCGGCGACGCCAACTCACGCTATGGCTGTGCTGGGCCGACAGGTAAGCTTGAATTAGGTCTCGGGCTCTGCTGGGGTCGCGCGCTGGAGGGCGGGGACGCAGAAGAGCATCTCCGGTCAGTGTGTTGCGGAAGAGCCGGGGCGCCCTGCTCGGGATGGAGTGGGGGCAGCAGGAGGTCGGAGAGGAGCCGAGAGCCGAGGCTCGACGGGCGAGGGCAGCTCTCAGAACGCTGGAGGAGGGTCGGGGGCCGGTGCCAGGAGTTTGAGAGCTGGAGTGGTTTTTTTATTGTTATTTTTTGAGACAGGGTCTCACTATGTAGTTGAAGCTAACCCGGAACTCACTATGTGGCCCAGGCTGGTCTTGAACTCACAGCTATCTTTTTGCCTCAGCCTCCCGAGTGCTGGGATTACAGGCGTGCGCCACCACGCCCCGCAAGCCGGACTGGTTTGCTTGTTACCTGCTGGCCTGAGCCCTGGAGGCCAGTGGGATATCTGTGTTAAGGTCGACTGGCAGATTAATTGTATCCAAGAGTGTTCTTGTGGAATGAATTTAAGTCATGAATCGAGTTTTGGCTATGGTTTAAAATTTCTAAGCAAATACTACCAAGTGGCCTTGAAACAGTGTAGTAGTTTAATTATTATGAGTAGCCAGGCAGAGCAGCTTAATATAAAAGAAAATAGCCCACCAGGTTAAGAGCTAATTCATGCAGCTAAGCTTAGAAATGTAAAAGAAGCAAGAATAAAAGCGAAAAGATTAGAATAAGAATAGAGAAAGTACTCTTTTCTCTTATCCAGAACACTAGTTAACAGCTCCTCCCTATCTCCAGACTTTGAGAAATATTAGAAATGCAAAATATCAAGGTTCTTTTGAACCTCCTTTTCTTTTTCTGTTATTCTTCCTGAGTTCTGTGTATTCCTACATAAGTGCAGGACAAGGAACACAGTTTGGACTTCTGTTTGGAATTCTCTCTGATAGATACCATGAACTTTTTCTTATTATTTCCATTAAACTCTCCTAAGTTCTTCTTTTGGTTTTTTACTTTATTCTTGGACTTTGTGGAACCAGGACTCTGTCCCCTTTCCTCCCTGCTAGCCCTGCAGTTAGCAAAGCTAACAGTACTATGTGTGCCTGACTCTGTACTTGTGTTACCCTGTTCGCTTTACAAGAGGTTCTTTCTCTGTAGGCTGTAAGATGTGACTTTTCAGATTGCTTGTGAAACTTGCACTCGTGTGGGATCAAGGTACTAAATACCTTGGCTCAGAAATCTTATAGTGTTTATTATACTGTGGTGGAATTCTCTTTTGGTTCTGTTTCTTGTAGGTTCTTGGTTTGCTCCGTCACATCCCCCTCACCTGGGTCTGTTTGGCTAAACTGAATCCTTACCTTGGAGAACAGAAAAGGACAACTGCTTCTTTGTTACGAAAACTGACAACAGCTTCTGGTGGAGAGAGCCTTGAGGAGTTACCCTTGTTTGGATCCAAGAAGTGTGTGCAGGAACTGGAGTGCCAGGCAAATCTTGTTCATTGCCTACCTGAGAAACAGAGAACTTCTGTGGATGGAGGGCCACTGACACTAGAGAAAGTTGTCTGTTCTCTCCTGGACATGGGTTTCAGTGATACCCGTATTAATGAATTGCTTGGTATACAGCCAGGTGCCAGCCTTCAACAGTTGCTGGACATCATTTCCGAATTTATACTCCTGGGTGTAAATCCAGAGTCTGTGTATGTAGCCTTGAAGAAAAGCCCCCAGTTACTGAACCTGCCTATAGTGCAAGTAAAGAAGCGTTCCAGTTACTTGCGGAAGCTTGGCCTTGGGGAAGGTACAAGGGGATGGAGATTTTAAATAGTGTGAGAAGTTGGGGAAAGAATAGCCTAAGATGAGGTGGATTAGCTCAGGTTTCTGAGAAGTCTGTCCTAGAAGAGAACATATGATGTGGCCTGAGGAGTGGTCTCTGCAGAAGGCATTGCAGGGGATACTGGGGAGATTAGGACTAGAAGAAAGAACCAAGGGCCAGGACAAGCCCTGGTTGATGAGTTCACTGAGGACCTCTACCTCCAAGAAGAGCGGTGACTCATAGTCTGTTCAGCGGGTGATGTTGCTTTGGGAAGGTGACGTGTGCATGCATGTGTAACCTTTGATGTGAAGACCCACTAGATGCAGTCTTAGCCCATCCCTTATAGACTTAGAGTCCAGCTAAGTGTTTTGATTTACTGTGGAACCTGAGAGATCTTGTGAGGCTTCTGGTAATATGGCAGAGTGGACTCCCTCTGGCTGTTGTGTCTCACCTTCCCAAGAGTTGTTTAGATTTCAGAGATCATTGAAATTCCTTGGATCTCTTTAGGGGTCTTCTGGAAAAGGAGAATAGGATGTCCAAGGACCTCTTTGCTCTTGACCGGAGGATTTGCACTATTTTTGTTTGTTTGTTTGCTTTTTGAGATAGGGTCTCACTGTGTAGTTGAGACTGACCTGGAACTCACTGTGTAGCCCAGGCTGGTCTCAAACTCACAGTAATCCACCTGCCTCAGCCTCCTGAGTGCTGGGTTTACAGGCGTGTGCCACCACGCCCAGCTTTTATTTCTTTTATTATTGACTCTTCCTGGTAAGATGCAGGGGGGCAGTGAAGGTTGAGGGCTCACAGTTTCTTAGGGTCTCTACAGGCTTCCTTTAGAAAATAAGTAAAAATATAGCCTTGTGTATTTCTCTTAATAGATTGTCTTTTAAAATGTAATCTAAAGCCTAAGTGTGAGAGGGTATGTGCTATTGTTACTCACTTGCAAGTTTAGGACAGTTTAAGAAATGAAGATAAAGCCTAAACTACTGAAATACATTCTTCCCACATTTTAGTAAGTTTAGAAAAGTGATTTTAAATTTTCATTTACTAAACTTTGCCCAACTTTCCGTGGTAAATGTACCCTAATTTGCCTGGGATAGTTACAGTTCACACCTTTGTCTTAATGGATTTACTATAGGGCCTTTTTACACTCCCATGTGCCCTGTTTGGGATAAAACATATAGTTTCCCCAGGCATCTAGGATGTTGGTATTTGTGATGTACATCAGGGTGCCATTATTTCCATCATCACTACTCCCTTATCACTGAGTCGGGCTCTCAGGTCCTCAGAGTGTTGGCAGCAAGTGCTTCAATGGCTGTTTTATAACTGAGGGAAACAGCAACCCAGAGCCCTGCTGTGGGGGAAAGTACTCCCATGTTACTAATTTTTCCTGTAAGTCTGGGAAATTCTCATCTAGGTGATTAGGGGAAGAAATTGAAGTTAGTGTCTTTAGGTGGAAGGCTAAAAAAGGCAGGGATGTAGGTTGGGCTGGTGAGTCTGAGGAATCATTTCCATAGTGCTCTGTGGAAGGCATGTCTGAGGTCTGTACTTGTTCTCTGGATTGAGTGGATTGAGAGGATCTCGCATTTCTTAAGGCTGGTTTGAGCTTTTAGGCCAGTTAGCCCTGGCTTTCTGGAATATCATGAAATTATGTGCTTTCCTATCCTTAATGCCACACAGGGAAACTAAAGAAGGTGCTTCACAGCTGCCCTGAGATTTTCACCATGCGTCAGCAGGATGTTGATGAAGTTGTTCAGGTTCTCAAGGAGAAGTGCCTTTTCACGGTGCAGCAGGTCACTGAGATTCTGCACAGATGCCCCAATGTGCTTCGGGAGGATCCTAGTGAATTGGAATACAAATTCCAGGTGAGAGTGATAGAGTGATTAGGCAAGTAATGGAAACACTTTCAGGTTTTTCAAGTGGACTGCCGTCAATTTTGAATGAAAAAGCTTCAGCCTGGTATTGTGGCACAAGCCTGAAATTCCAGCACTCTGGGAAGCTGAGGCAGGAGGATCATAAGTTCAAGCCCAGTCTGGACAGCTTAGTGACATAGACCCCATTTCAAAATTTATAATGGGCTAGGGAATGTAGCTTAGTGTGAAGGCCCTGGGTTCAATCCAAAATAATGTGAAATGAATAAATAGCTAGCCTCTCAGTAGATAAGATAAAAGGCTTTTATTTTCTTTGCACACACGTGCCAAAAACAATGTGTCTCCGATTGTTTTCCACTTCTTTACAGTAAACTATTCCACACTTGTTTTCCATTATAGTGAATGGCCCAGTCCTGTTCTTACTAGAGTCCACGTGGAAACTCTGAAATAGTAAATCTTTCCTGTCTTTAGAACCTGTTTTGCATGTTGATTTTGAAAATTGTGACAATTGTTTTAATATTTTACTAACAGTTATGACTACTTACATCAAATTCCTAGGTGTCTTATGAAATTTTTGGCCTATTTTTCCATATTCAGTTTTCCTTTTCTCCATTTCAAGAAAAATGTTTTCTTTTCTGTCCTTTTTGTTCTCTGCTGCATTTTTCTCAATAAGAATTTGAAAATGCTTTGAAATTGTTAGCTATCATACGGATGTTAGTATCATAGAGTGAATATTTTGTGGTGGATTAGGCAATTCTTGTTGAATGCTTTTGGACAACTGAAGTTTTTATGAATTGTGGAATGAGGATTTTCAGATTCTGCATGTGGGATTTGTAAACATATTTGTGTCTTCTAGTATGGCTACTTTAGGATGGGAAGTAAACATCTGGACATAGTAAGGACTGAGTTCTTCAAGTACTCACTAACCAAGATCAAGCAGAGGCACATTTACCTGGAACGCCTGGGCCGGTACCAAACACCTGATAAGAAGGGGCAGACACAGATTGCAAACCCTTTACTCAAGGATATTCTCAGAGTTTCAGAGGCTGAGTTTTTGGCCAAGACAGCTTGTTCCTCTGCTGAGGAATTTGCGGTTTTTAAAAAGCTCTTGGCTTGGGAGGACGAAGAACTTGAGAGCAGCATATCTCAGGAGGAGGAAGAGGAGGAAGAAGAGGAGGACGAGGATGAGGACAAGGATGAAGAATAGCTGTGATGGAGGACTGAGGCAAATAGGGCCCAGGGATCACAAAGAACATTCTCACATTCCCAAAGCTTTGGAGAGCTTCACTTGGATCTTCTCAAGTATTTCATATTAACACTTGATGTTTTGATAAAAAATTGTATGAACCACCCAAGATTCAGAAGGTCAAACCAAAAGGGGGTCCTTTGGTGTGATGGGGGGGGTCTGTTGGGAGGCCCCATTCCATTCTAAATAAAATGCTGAGCTGTTAAGGGAACTCAGTACATCCAAATTTGATTTTTTCTTCTCTGTTAAAATATCTTGATGCTAAGTCCATGATGTTGTGAAAGACAGGTGCTGACTTGCTCAAGAGTCATTTTATTTACTTTAGAGGATAAAGATAGAGTCACAAGGAGTCATGTGAGGTTTTAGTACATGATAGCACTTTATTTTATGAAAACAAGTAGCAGGTTTCCCACAAAAATACCTATGTTTTAAATCCAAAAATAATCTCCTTACTTCCAAATTGAATTCAGTGTACAACAGAGTAAAAGGCAGTTGGTTAGTGATATCTGCTTTAGTTTTTTTGCACAGCTTCTTCAGGCCAGTAAAACACAGATACTTTGTCTATGAAAAACCAGTCTCTCCTGCTCAGTCCCCTGATAGGCCTGGTGTCTGGAACATGGCCTGTGCTGCCTGATTGTGCTGGCTTGGAGAGTGCCAGGGCTGGAGGGGTTGGGGAGTTTTCTTGGACAGTCATCCCCCATTGCGTGATGCGTGGGCCACTGAGGACCAGACAGAAGCACAGGCCAGGACTGATTGTGGGTTTTTTCGAGGGAGCTCTCCAGACACCCAAATTTGAGCCTCACAGGGGAATGTGGTAGGCTCAAGGAGTAGTGTGGGATGCTGAGAATGGAGATGGGCTGTGCTCTGAGGTAGAGGCCTGGCTTTGATGGCAGAGTGCTTGGCCTAAGGACTAGTGGCTCCTAGAACATTCCCCTTCCTTGGGGAACTGCACAGAGCTGGTGCTATAGAAAGCATCTTTGGTAACTAAAATTTGAGTCTACTTAGTGGCTTTTTTGTGTGTGTGTGTGTGTACCAGTGATTGAACTCAGGACCTTATACTTGTGAGGCAGGCGGCAGCACCATTGAGCTAAATCCCCAGCCTACTTAGTGGCATTTTAACAGCCACGTGAAACTCTTCCGATGCTTGGCCTTGTTCTTCCCACATAGACCACATAAGGGTCTTGTAAAGCCACAGCTCTTACCGGGAGACAGATAGCTTTGACCCTTGGGACATCAGATAGATTTGGAGATCTTTTGGGTTATAATCATCCTAGGGTGGAGTGCCACTAGGATATAGTGGGTGGTGGCCAGCGATTCTACAAAATACCCTACAATGTACAGGATACCCCACAACAAAGGCTGATCCATCCCCAAGTGGTGCCAAAGCTGTGAGACCACCTAAGGCCTGGTGCAGTGACCACTTCGCATGGGTTGTTAATGGATTCTCAATAATTGTGTTTATTTCTATTTAAAAATCAGACCTTGGCAGATCTGAGCTGTGTTTTGTTGTGAGGATTCTGTACTCTTGCAGGCTCACATTGGAGTAGGACTGCAAAGAGAAGAGGTTCTTGCAGAGAAAAGCAGTAGCTCTGTGACTCCCCTGTGAGTGAGTTATGGTGGCAGCAGTTTGCCAGTGGTGCAGGAGGCTGGCAGACTTGGTTCTCTTGCTTTTGAGCTCTCCATGGGGGTCAAGGTACAGCAGAAATGTCCTGTTTGCACCTGGTAGCCCCCCGCCGGTAGGGAGGGGAGTCTTTATCTGGTTGTTTCTGTCTGGGGCAAAACAGACAATGCAGATGCCCACTCTGTACCTTTGTTGCTGCTTTCTCTTCCACTTTGAGGCATCCAAGTGCCTTATCTCCCTGAAACTTTGGTGCTATTTTTGGGCAGCGGGACTAGATAGGCTCTTAAACCTGAGCTTGATTAAATGATCAGCTCATCCCATTTTGGTTAGTGAATGGTAAACTGCACAACTCATGGTTGCTTCTTTTGTTTTGGCACAGAAGTAAATCTTTATATCTTGATAGATTTTGGATTCTATTATGACTCATTTGTCTAGCTGAACTTTGAGTGTTTTCAGAGACGACATCAGTTTTAGGAAGAACATGTGAGAACAGAGTGGCTCCTTTGACCAGGTGATTATGTGACGCTGTCAGCGTCAGACCCTCTATTTGTGAAACATCAGAATAGGTTGGTCACATGACCATACTGCACAGCACCCAGTAGCTTTCTTTTGCTGAAATACTGGTTTCTAAGCTAAAAAAGCTAGGTGTTGGTGGCACATGCCTGTAATCCAATACCAGGAGGATTCAAGGCTAGCCTGGGCTGCATAGTTCAAGGCCAGCCTGAATTACAGTGAGACTCTCTATCCAAAAAA